TGCATTGATTTTCTCAGTGCCGTTACAAATCAAAAGGTATTTATGATAGTGTCAGGCTCACTTGGACAAAAAATAATAGCAGATATTGAAGCATGGCCACAACTGGAGTCAGTCTATGTATTCTGTCGCAACCAAGCAGCTCATGAACAATGGGCCAATAAAGTACCAAAGGTTAAAGGTGTATACACAAAAATCAAACCAATCTGTAAGGCCTTGCAGATCGATCGCGAAAATTGTGATCGAGCAATGATCTCGATCAGCTTTAATGGTCGTGATGCATTATTTATGTATACACAACTTTTAAAAGAAGCACTCTTGGAAATCGAAGATGATGATAAAAAATCCATCAAAGATCTGGTCGATTATTGTCGTGAACAGGATGATATTTCTGAAGATCAAATTAAACTTGTTGAACGTGAATATCGTCATCATACACCAATATGGTGGTATACGGCTGAAACATTTATATATTCAATGCTCAATCGGGGCCTCCGAGAAATGGATGTTGACATCATCCTTAAAATGGGATTTTTCATCCGTCATTTACATCAGCATATTACCGAACTACATCACGAACAAAAAGGCAGCATGCCAACAAATTTTCAAGTCTTCCGTGGACAAGGTTTCTCCATGGAAGATTTTGAAAAAATGAAAAAAACCAAAGGAGGTCTTATGTCCTTTAATAATTTTCTGTCCACAAGTCGTAATCGTCAAATATCTTTCAACAACTTTGCAAGACCAGCAGCATCTAATACAAATTCAGTTGGCATTCTCTTCGTTATGACCATTGACACGGCTATTTGCACAAAATCATCAACACCATTTGCTGAAGTAAGCAAAGTTGGTTACTACAAAGATAAAGAGGAAGAAATACTCTTTTCAACACATGCGATTTTTCGTATCGATCGCATTGAACAAATTCACGATAATCACTCTGATCGGCTATACGAAGTTAATCTCACTATTGTGGGTAATGACAATCATGAGTTGAACACACTTACAGCACACATGCGTGAGGAAATTCGGGGCGACAGCGGATGGTCTCGACTTGGGTACATACTTATTAAATTGGGTGAGACTACAAAAGCAGAACAATTGTATCAGATACTCCTTGCAAAGGCATCTTCTGATGAAGATCGAGCAGATTATAATCATCAACTTGGCTGGGTGTATGATAACATGGGCGAGTACTCAAAAGCACTTTCATATTATGAAAAAGATCTTGAGATTACCAAGAAAGCTCTCCCTCCGAATCATCCCGACTTGGCTGCTTCCTACAACAACATCGGTAATGTGTATAGAGCCATGGGCGAGTACTCCAAAGCACTTTCATCGTATGAACGATCACTTGAAATCCAGAAAATAGCTCTCCCTCCGAATCATCCCGACTTGGCTACTTCCTACAACAACATCGGTAATGTGTATAATAACATGGGCGAGTACGCGAAAGCACTTTCATCGTATGAACGATCACTTGAAATCCATAAAATAGCTCTCCCTCCGAATCATCCCGACTTGGCTGCTTCCGACAACAACATCGGCTTGGTGTATAATAACATGGGCGAGTACTCAAAAGCACTTTCATCGTATGAACGATCACTTGAAATCCATAAAATAGCTCTCCCTCCTAATCATCCCTCCTTGGCTGGTTCCTACAACAACATCGGTATGGTCTATAATAGCATGGGCGAGTACTCAAAAGCACTTTCATCGTATGAACGATCACTTGAAATCAAGAAAATAGCTCTCCCTCCAAATCATCCC